TTGATGATACAATAATGAAATTAATTACTGAAGAGACTAATCTGTATCAGAGGAGTAAATATCCTGAGGATGAATCTGGAGCAGCTTCTTCAAAGTATTTACCTGTTACAGTGGAAGAAATGTTTGTTTTCTTTGCTCTAACAATTTTGATGAATATTTTAAAGAAACCCACAATCAAAACGTTTTTCAACGAATCCCATGCTTGCAACGGCATTTTTTAATAGCGTAATGAGTCGTGATCGATACGTTGTAATTCTTAGATGTTTACATTTTAACTAGCAGTGATGCCAAAAAAATCGGAAAGCTTCAACCAGTTTTAAATAAAATAATTGAAAATTTCAAGTCCGCTTACACCCCTGAGAGGAATATATCAACAGATGAAAGTTTATTATTGTGGAAAGGAAGACTTGGATTTCGCCAATGCGTCCCTTCTAAACGGTCGCGATATGGAATTAAACTTTATAAATTAAGTGAATCTAAATCAGGATACATATACAATTTTATCATTTATACGGGAAAAGATATGGCGTTAAAGGAAACTTTAGGATTATATGGGGAAAGAGTTGTCAAATCTCTACTTGAAGAACTTTCTGGTCAATGGTACCATTTATATATTGATTGTTTTTTTGTCTCCATCATTAGAGGAAGAACTCTTTGCACTACAAACAAATACATGTGGGACTGTAATGAAGAGAAGGAAAGGAATGCCTGAAAATTTTCCGCCGCCCAAAATGAAAATCGGTGAGATGTTGGTTTTGCAGAAAAAGAACTTAAAACTTAACTGCTTTCAAAGATAGACGAGAAGTGCTAATGATATGAACTATGCATGATGCAAAAATGTGTGATACTGGTAAAAAAGATCGAGCAACATCTGATCCTATAATGAAGCCAGAGTGTATCGTAGAATACAACAAAAATATGGGAGGAGTAGATTTAAGCGATTGTGTCATTATTCAGTACCCATCTTTCAGAAAAACTGTTAAATGGTATAAGAAGCTTTTCTTCAATATCATGGATATGGCTGTATTTAACGCCAATACTCTTTTCAATAAAAAAAGTAAAAAAAAAAAAAAAATCTTCCTCTCCTGAATTATCGGCTTAATTTAGTTAATCAAATTATTTATCAGTATTCCTCTAAAAGCACCAGCGTTAATATCACACCAAGATCAGCAGAATCATTAAATCCGCTCAGATTAACTGAAAGACATTTTCTAAAACTTTGTTCTGAAGAGACTGATAAGAAAATGAGACGACAGTGCTTCGTTTGTTCACGTTCCCGGAAAAATCCTCCAAAACGGCAAATGAGTTATTACGAGTTCAAGGAATGTAATGTAGGACTGTGTGTAGATCCCTGTTTTAAAATTTTTCATACGAAAAGAGAATTTTAAGTAATATATTTAGTTTTTAGATGTATAATGTTAAAAGTAATAAAATAGTGATTAAGAAAAATAAAATGTGTAAAATATGCATTTAAACAAGAAATGAGGTAATTAAAGTACATATATAAAAATATCTATAAAGCATAAGCCGTTTAAATACTCTATAGAGTATTATTAAACAATGCATTGATACTTCGAAATTTCATGGATTTAGTCTTAATGTCAGAAAAGGCCCCGGCCCTGGACAGACGCTCGTGTAAGACACTGCCGGCCTCCACGATAAGCACGCGTTTGCGCTACCCTGCGCGAAAGGATTAACCCATTAAAATTCTCCACTGGTATAGAGGAAAAAATTTGCTGTCATTTGTATATGTGCGTTTATATAGGGCGAAATGTGTGAAGTCTACCTTCAGCAGTGTTTTTTTTTAATGAATAATTATTGGACATTCAAATAATGTTGTTTGAAGTTTGGCCGATTTTGCTATAGTTGATGAAGTGAAAGTATAGTGACATTTCATTATTTGTGTAAACAGTCACTTTTTGGCCAGTGGAATACGAGACATTTCACTGTTATTGATATAACAGCTACTTTGACTGTATGTTGAACCTTCATTTTTGAGTTGGGAGAACTTGACAGCACAACATGATTCTTTTTTCAAACAGTGGAACTGCAGTGACATTTCATTGTTATTGGTCAAAATAGTCACTTTTTGGAATTTCTGTAACATTGAGACAGCAGCTGCTGGAATTTGAGATCTTGCACAATTCAGGTAATTTTTTATAAATTGTATCACCCAGGAGCTATAGAACTCTCTAGGATAATGTTCTTTGTTAGCGGTTTGACCATTAATCTGATGGTTACTTTTGCAACATATGATTGTTGGTCAGTCATTGCAACATATGATTGTTGGTCAGGTGGGCACATATCAGCCAATTAGAAAGTTATAGCATTTCATTATTATTTGTCGAGTGGCAGGTGTGGCATTCAGTAGTTATTTAAGTGTTTACTTTTCACTTGTTTAAGTGTTGTGTTGGCAACATTTTATTATTAATCAAAGCAATCACATTTTTCCTATAGCATTCATAGAGCACCCTTACAGATGCTCCTGATGTATTTGTAGATATGCAATATTTTTGTGTAAAATTAGATTCTTATTGCAATTCTAGTTGTTTTCTATTCATTGCTTTACCCAAATGTGCCAGGTATACTTAAGTAATATTATCTGGCAACATTTCAGCTAGTTTTCACTATGATAACTGCAGTATAACAGTGATTGAAGAAAACAGTAAACATTATCTTAATTTTGGACTGATTGTCACATAGCATTTTCAGATTTACTTCAATTTTGGAGTATCTTATATTTGATTTTACAGGTATACATATCAGAAGTCGAGGTCAGTGTTTCATCTAGTTCAGCGGTTCTCAACCTTTTGACTAACGCATACCATCTAAACAAAAACTGAAAAACCTTAGTGCCACCACATTTTACAATAACTATTGTTCAATAGAAATATTTAAAAAATATAGTTTGCAATTTGCACAACCTATTGGCTATTTATATTAAATATGCACACATAAAACTTATTAGCTTAAAATTGGTTACCATTTTAATTATCAAAGTTTTAAGTTATAAAACTTTAATTCTAAAATTTTGTTCTGTTTACGAGAGATGAAATTCTTACTGTCTGGTTTTAACCTTAAATTAAGGTCCACTTTTAATTTTGCTCTTCGTTTATTTTTTAAATATAACATGGAAGAAAATCCTTGTTCACACAAAAAAGGTTGTTCAAAAAGGCAATCAAAATTTAATAACTTTATTTGAAATGCCTTTAAATTCTTTTTTTTTTAGCCAAAAGTTAATAAGTGTGTTATTTTTATATCTTTAGTTAGAGTTCAATTACAGGAAATTTCTATCAATTGTTCTTTTTCTTCGCAAGATAAAATTTCACGTGCATTTAGACAGAATGGATTTCTAACCCAGTTTTGTTAGCTCAGTCCTCAGGAAAATACATGTTGAAATTATTTATCAACAAAAAACAATGCTTTATAATGTCGAATGCTAATTATTTTATTTTCAACTTATTTTCAGTTAGGAAATTCTAAACCTAAAAAAAGTTAAAAATATTATTAGCCTGAGATTTTTTATCTTGCCATTTATTTTATCTCTAATAGTAAATAAATTAACACTGTCCTTATAGACCTAATTTGTTCAAATATAAAATGAAAAAAAATCCTTGTTCTCACAAATAGGTTGTGCAAAAAGGCAATAAAAATTTAATAGCTTTTAGCTTTATTTGAAACACGTTTAAATTCTTTTTTTCCGATTCAGCCAAAATTAAACCAAAAGTTAACAAGTGTGTTATTTCTGAAATCTTCAGTTAGAGTGTTTGATCATAGGAAATTTCAGTTAATTGTTCTTTTTCTTCATGAAATAAAATTTCAGGTACATTTGAACAAAATGGATTTTCTAGTCCAATTTTCTTTTTCATAATCCTCGGGAAAATACATGTTGAAATTATTTATCAATGAAAAACGGTGACTTTTAATGTCGGATGCTAATTCTTCTTTTATTTTTGGTTAGAAAACTTTCTAAAAGCGGTAAAAAGCTTAAAATATCATTATCCGATTCTCTGATTATTAGTTTTTTATCATTGCATTTGTTTTAAATTTAATGGTAAACAAATTAACACTTTGTCCTTGGTAATGCTAAAATGCTTTATCCTTGTAATCCTAAATTTAATTCATTTAACTTTCCAAGAATATCAGCTAAATATGCTAATTGTCCCAATGCAAATAAATTTAACAATTTTCAGGTTTTCGAGAATTGTTTTGGCTACTAAAGCTTCACGATGAATGCAGCAGTGAGTAAATTTAGTTTCAGATTCGACTTTCTTTACTTGAGAAATAACACTGGAATGTTTTCCTGTTAAAGCCCGAGGTCCATTCAGCAATGCATTTATTCCAAGGAAATTTTTCTATCGATTATTCTTTCTCTTCATGGGAATATTAAGTTCATTATCTGCTTTTTCGTTGAATAATATTAAAATGATATCTTTAGCTGCTGGTAATATAAGATTTTCTCCAATAGTGTGAGCCTTCCCAGTTCAGGAAATTCTTAGGCTTACTAGTTAACTAGCTTCCAAAGTTTTTCACTTGGAAGTGACAAAAACCTTTCATTACTATTTTTTAACTCTGATAATTTCCTCATAAAATATTCTTCAGATTTAATGGTAAACTCTGCGAACAAGATATAACTGAATAACTGAGTCATTATAGAGATGTGCAAGCTGACCTGAATGAGAATCTCCAAGAACAGTTGATAAAACGTAGAAGTGTATTTTAGTTCTGTGTTTGCTGGATTTATCATTTGATGACGTTTATACATGTTAGGTTCTACAGGATGTATATTCAGGAAATCTACTACACTAATAGATCTTACTTAAGAAATAATTTAATTTCCAGTAGAGGTAGAAAGTAACTTGTATTCATCTCATGACGTATGAGAAATTTAGTATTAACATATGATAAAGAATTTTTGTGTGTTAAAGTATGTATTCCCCCCCCCTCTTTTTTACCAAACTATAATTTTTTTAGGATGGTTTTCTATTTTTCTTTTTTAGAAAAGATGATCTCAATAATACAAGGGAATGGCTGGTACTAGAGATACAAGGAGATATTGTATGTAATTGTCCACAGTCTGCTGGAAGAAGACATTTTGGACATCTAATTTTTTCAGTAATTATGATTTTCATGTTTGAGACTTTCTGACACTGCAATTTATTTATATTTTATCACTGTACTCATTTTTACTTACCTTCTTATTGCATTATTTGAGAAATTACTTTAAAATTTTAATTCTGTTTTTCATGCATACTATGCATTAATTGTACAGTTGGTTGGGGTGGGGGAAAGAACATTGTAGTTTTTTGGATGTACTTTTTTTCCTGAAGTCTAGAAAATGTGCATGGCAGTTCTGTATTTTCCATAGCCTCCTCCACAGTTTATTCAGAAACTGCACTTGTTTAAATTTAGTCAGCCTGGAATATGGGACTGATTTTTGCTGTGTTTTTGCTATAGCTTACTATGAAGTTGTCTTTAAAGCAGCATTTCTGAAATTAATAATGAATTTACTAATATTTTCTGTTGTATAATGTAGCAGGATTTCTTAAATATCAGGGGTTTTAACAAGTTTCCCCGCCAACACAAATGACGTATACGCAAACAGTTTGCGTGTTTCATAATATTTTATCAAACGATTTTTGGCATTTAAAAGGAAAGCGACTTCCTTTAAACCACTCTGTAGTGAAATTTTTAACAAATACCATTATCCTTCATTATAAGGTGTCTGGAATGGAACTACAGTCAAAAGTCATTAATTCGGACACCCATAATCCGGAATGATCTATAATCCAGACCTCAAAGCTACAAACTTTCTGCGCATAGGCGTTTATGCATGCGTGTAAGACCTTTACGGCTGCGAATATGCGTGCGCATTTAATGTATAACAAACGGTATAAGCTAAGCTAAAATTATCTAATTCAGTTAATGTTGCAGATTGCGTTGTTCCTTAATCTTCGAATTGGATCCGGCTTCTTATTTTTTGCAGACTGTTATAGCAATTTCATATAAAAGTAAGGTTGAACTTTCGATTATGTCAAATAGAATTTCTGATATATATTTACTAATATGTAAAGGATCTACAAAGCGAAAGTATGTTTCGAAGTCCATTAAACAAAAAGTGGAATTGCTGCAAAAAAATGGATCCTTTGTTTCTCTAACCATTCTGAAATCTGTGTATCAATTTCACGCTGCTCAGCGGCGGGGGTGAAACGATGCGGCGCACAATGAATTGGAAGTTGATCTGTCAGCACTATCCTTATCTTCAGGGCAGATGTTTGTCAAAAGTGAGAGTAACAATTCTAGCATGTGCAAATGCGTCAGGGGTGCACAAGTCTAAACTTTTTGTAATCTGAAAAAATACATGAAGTTGAGCATTTAAAAAAGTAAAGATTTTCCCCTTTATATATCGATTGACAAATCGTGCAAAGAAAAGAGCGTGGATGACACAAGTGTTAATGAATGATCGGTTTGAAAAAAATTTCATACCCACTGCTCGTCAGAATTCGGTTAGATTACTTGGTGATGCAAAAATTGTCCTGAATGTAGACAACTGTTTGGCTCATACTTTACAAAGTTGTAGTGAAAGAAAATGTATCCATATTATTCTTTCCTCCAAATTGTGCACCCGTCATTCAGCCTATAGATATTGGGATATTGCAAGCGCTGAAATGCAAATATAAAGATTTTCAAAATCCATGTTAAATTTCTTGAAAAATGGCAATATTATTTAAGAATTTTTTAAATAATTTTACATAAAATGTGCTTTGTGGAGCATTGCAATATTGTGGGAGGATGTTTTCCCAGATACTTTAAAAACATTTTTTTCAGAATTTATGGCCAGCTACCATATTTCATGGTGAGGATGACGAATATGAAGGTTTTCAGATATCGCAAAGTAAAGGTGAAATTTTCCAATTAATGGGTTTTGTAAAGAAATCTGGAGATGTGTTAATAAATGAAGATGGTGTTAATAAAAGATTTTCTCATTACAATGACAATGCCCCAATCATCAGACTGTTAAGGGACGGAAAAATCTTGTATGGTTTTAGATTCATGAAATACTGGTAACAATAGTGAAGAAAATTACAGAGAGATTATTGAAAACGAAAAAATTTCGATTGACTACTTATAATTCTCAACACAGTTACAGGACTTGAACAGTGGAGCTCTGTAACTTAAAAAGAAATTACGTCATTCTACAGAATTAGAGAGAAAATATTAGCACAAAAAAGAAACTTAAACAACTTACATTGAAAGAAATATTCCACAAAGTAAACAATTAAATATTAAGTTTTTTTTTGTAAATTTTGTTATTCTTTCGATCAGTTTCTTAAACTGTGGGTCACGGGATTGCAGTAGTGTGTCGCCAAAAATTTAGCAATTTTGAATTTCTTTAACTTGTTATAATAATTTTATAATTACAAAATATTTTTACATAATGCATAGTTGCCAACTCTCCTGATTTAGGCGGGAGACTCCCGATTTTCGACCGCTCTCCCGCCAACCCGATTTACGATATATTTCTCCCGACTTTTTCTTATTCTTAATATTTCTCACGATTTTTATGGAACTTGGCTTAATACTTCATTATATGAACAAAAAAAAGTGATTTTGAACGTCTGAAAGCAACTGAATTTTCTCTAGATTATATCTAAAATAAAACCTTGCGAATCAGGTGAGAATTTCTGCTTTGTGAGTGACAGCATACGTATCCAGAAACGTCGTTATCCAGTTCTCCAATGGGCATCGAGCTCCACTGCGTATCATCTGGCATATATTCGCCAATGAGCACAAAGCAAGCTCAAGGCCATTGCAAAGAAAATTCTTTGGCCGTTGGGCCGTTATTTCTATGTTCTTTCGTTATTTCGTTCATCTTGTCCTGAGTTGTGTGAGTGCACGTGCCTTTGGGAGAGAGTTTTAGAAATTATCGTCTTTTGTTGTGTCTGCGAGAAAGGTGAAATACTCGTGCACGTTTCAAAAATCATACACAGTTGACTTTCCTTCCATTATTTCTTCAAGGAATGTAATAAATTTGCGATGTGTACCATCTGTCGTTGCGATTTTTCGATTTCGCATGGTGGAAGGGCAGATGTTCTCAAATATGTGCATACACAAAAACACAAGGACAACATGAGTTGTTTTGAAAAAAACGAAAAATTAAATTTTTCTTCGGAAACAAAAGACCAAAAAGTGATTAATGCAGAATGTCTGTTCTCTGCCTTTTTACAGGAGCACAACCCGCCACTGAATGCATCGGATCACGCTGCAGCTTTATGTAGAAAAATGTTTCCCGATAGTAAAATCGCTAAGAAGTACTCAAGTGCAAGGACCAAAACAAGTGCAATTGTTAAAGAAATGGGTTTAAAAAATAAATGTTCAGTTATTGATTGCATTAAAACAGCTCCGTTCTGCCTCTCTACGGATGGAAGCAATAATACCGATTCAAACTGTATCCAATTGTTGTTTCTTTTTTTTAATCCAGAGTTTTCAGAAATTGAGTGCAGTTTACTTTCTGTCCCCACTTTAGAAGGACATTCGACAGGCTTTAATATAGCACAGCTAATTATTAAAACTTTAAAAGAAAATGCAGTCCCTCTGGATAATTGCTTAGCACTTGGTGCCGATAATGCACCAGTAATGGTAGGCTTGAAGACTGGTGTTGCAGGCATCTTAAGAAAGGCAAATTCAGATTTGCAGATAATGAGGTGCACCTGTCACCTCTTAAATTTAGCAGCTGAAAAAGGGGCAGCTTCTTTACCATTAAATGTGGATGAACACATTGTTGATATTTATTATTATCTTGAAAGAAGTTCTAAAAGAAAGGAAAAATTGAAACAGTTCCAACAGCTGCATAATACTGAAATAAGAAAAATTTTGAAACATGTGTGTACACGCTGGCTGTCTTTAAAGAAATGCTTATCTAGAATCCTCGATCAATGGAACCCACTTCTTGCATTTTTTAAAGAAGAAGTAAATGCTTCGAGAGTTAAGATAAAAGGCTCTATTGAAAGTTATAAAGTACCTAAAGTAAATGGAGATGTAGTTACTACTTCCATTGTTAAAAATAGGTTTGAGAAAAATAAAGTAATTTCTGCATCATTCAGCAATTCAACTGGCAGTTCTCAAAATAATACTGCAAAATATAAGCGTAAAGCTGATACAAATTTCTCTCAAAATAAAAAAATTGCTCAACACACGAAACATTTTCCGATTACTGTAAGTTTATCTTGTGAAGAACGAATATTTATGTTTTTTTTCTTCGGACCTTAACAAAGCTTTTTGCTTTTTTTTACAATTCATTTTGCCATCATTCAATGTTCTTAACGCAATTCTACAAAGCATAATTCCATTAACTCATGTTTTGCAATCAATGATTTATGATCTGTTTAAAGACATTTTATCAAAGTTTGTAAAACCAGTCTGTGTTTTGTCTTGTAATTCTATCTATATATGATGTTGTGGTGTAGTGGCCGAAACCGCTATGCTAACCCTGGGTTGTGACATCAGGTTCAAAACAAAACACAGCATAAAAATTTTATTGAACGCAAAAAAAAAAAAAAAAAAAAAAAAAAAAAAAAAATGGCTACATACAATTCTGCAGAGAAAAACCTATCTTCAAAAAATCAAATTCTATACATTTTACGTGCGAGAGCAATTCGTGGCTCTCGAGCTTGCGTTTTCAACATTGCCAACGATTTAATTATTTTAATAGACTATTTTTACAACTATTGAAAACGTGTTTGTAAGTTAAAAAAAAATAATTTTCAGCTTATTCTCATTAGACATCCTTATCCATATTAATCTTCAGTGTCTTCTTTTATGTAACCTTATCACAAAATGGTGAAACAGAAAATCAGAAGAAAGATGAATATTTGGTAATAGGAGCTGCAACTACAAAAGTAGTGGAAGAACTTTCAGAAGAAGACAAAAATAAGTTTTATCTTCATGTTAGAAGTTACTTCTGTCGATTCTGTTTTTGTAAATTTTGATACCCTTTAGAGCATAATTGTTCTTTATTTCATAAATTACGGTTTCATATTTTTAATTTTATAATTTCTGCATGCCATCTGACCAGATTTAAACTGATGATCTATAATACGAAAAAATCGATAATC